CCTACTTTCTGAATGCTAAAGTCAAGCACACACAATATGTTCTTTTATAAATGTTTACCCACAGGATTCAGTTCCCTGAAATGTCTGCAAATCACGACTGCTGCAGAGGCAGCAACACTGTCTGTCTGTTTGAACAAAGTGCTCACCTCTTCGCTGAATCTTTTCCAGGGAGCGCTTTCATCATTCGACAAAAAAGCTGATTCTGTCATGATGAAAAATTCATTTGAATATGCTTGAGGTACATGTAATTTATCGTGCCAGACACCAAGACCTCTTAAAAAACCGAGCATATTCCTTGAAGGTTGAGTGAAAATGTAGTCCACTTTTTATTCTCTCTGTCAGTCACTATTAAATATTTATCTGATGCCTGTCGAGTTGAAAGCTTGTCTTTCATTAAGGCGTTTTGTTATTAGCGATATTTGTGATTGTCTTATTTAACTCCTCTCTCCTCTGTCCTGAATCTTTTCACAGCCGCAAGAAGCAAAAAGAAAAAATAGTTGGCCAGTAGCTGATACATAAAACATCTTTTCTTTTCTGGCTCATGATTTTGAATTAATTTATTGTGAAAGGTGTGACTGAGAGAAGAGATGTGGCTTTTTGAAATCCTCCGTTAGGTTCTACCACAAGTGTGACCCAAAAAGAAGAATTAAAATTCAGTCTTCAATCCAGTTAGTAAGTGGAAAAGAAGAAAATGCCTCCTTCTGTGTAAACCAAACACCAACGGCTATATTTAGTATGTTTAATAAGATCAGCCACATTTTTTGAGATGGACACACATAACAAAATCAATATTTTTCATAATTTAATTAGATGACAAACCAGTTTTTCTTTGAAAAATGCAGAATACCAACTAATAAGACATCATGTAACATGTTAAATATCAGATATCTGATGGATATATGTATCTCTCACCTGAACCCTGAAACCAAGGTTAAGCCCTCAAACAGACCTTTAAAGTTGTGCCAGAAATTGAGGAGCAGCCAAAATTTCCTCACTTCGTTATTTCATAAAGTTTAAGTTGCATTTTGTATTTTGGTAAAGCTTACATCCAGAATGTGGTTCACTTCAGCTTGGATCTCTACTTTTGTTGTTTTCTCTTTTGACTCCTGCTGTGCACCAACTGTCCGGGTGGATCGTTGTATCTTATTTGGCTGCCACAGCACAGAATAAAAGTTTACACCACTTTCCACGTTTGCTTGTTTGTGATGAAAAACTTTCAAACCTAGAGACAGATTAAGAGTCTTCCAACTGGAAAAAGATCAAAAATGACAAATGACGTTATAAAAGTGGGCAGAAATGCCAGCTTGTCCTTTGGTACAGACAAAAATATTTTAACTAGAAGATGGTTTCTCATGAAATTCAGCACAGACAGGAAATTAATCTTCCAGACTTCAGTGACCTTAAACAACAATTGATTATTCATTTGTTTTAAATTTACATTCATCAATTAAAGAACTTAAATGTAAAATGAGCTTCCTTGTGTGTCTTCAATTAACCCAGTACTTCAATGAATTTAATTTGGGGTAAAATGGGTCTCAGTAACAAACAGCTCCCGATATTAGCTTTAATTGGAAAAATACAACACCACTCCTAATTATGAGACAGAATTAAATGCAAAGGGAAATAGATTTTCTTTCTTTTTATTAAAAAAGGAAACCAGACGGATGGGTGGACACACAAATGGGTGTCAGACAGAGGGTAACAGGGGTGAATTTGAGAGGCAGTTATAAGAAAGACAGAGTCTGGCACATGTAGACAAAAACAATGCCCTCCAGATGGACGAGCCGAGTGAGAGCTGCCCCTTTTTAAGGAGGAGGATGATACAGAGGTGGTCTGACTATTTGAGGACTGATCTTTTTCAAGAGAAATAGGAAGAGAGAGGATAAAGAAACATTATTCCTGCTGCCTACACTGTACTGAGGCTAAAAGTAACAGAGCAGTCGTAGGTGTTTATGTAATGTGGAGAAAAAACAAAACCAAAGAGCATGAATCTGCACAGTGGAACTGTATATATTTAGATGTAAAACATACATGACTATTAGTCTTGACCCACATTAAATTCACATTGTCCTATTGACCTTGTCAGCAAGTTTTAAAACAATAGAGAGTATTGAAAAATAAAGTTACACGACAGCCAGACTCTGACCAGACTCCCGATTGAGTGTGTGTATATTGTACATCTGAGGTACAGCAGGGTGAAGCTCACCTCACAAAATCCCTTTGATCTCTTTTGATCTCATTGCAATCCCCACTGTATTCCCAACGCCCCCAAAGGACGGACAGGGATTTATACACAGTGGCTTCAGAAAATATCCAGACCACTTCCAATTTCCACACCTTATTCAGCTGTTTATTTATCAACAGTCAATAACCCATAATGATAAAAGTGTTCAGCTCTTTATTGACGCAGTCCAACATGTGGTCAAATGTATCTTGTTGGCTTAAGTTTTTCTTGAATTGTATTCAACTTCTTTTAATTGCGAGAACAGAACATACATCCAAGACATCTCTGGCCAAAATTCTGTTGTGCAAACATTGAAGAGACTTACCCAAGAAGAGTGAAAGCTGTTAAGTTTAAATGAAGCGTCTGAACTTTTAAATTAGCAACTTTTAAATTTGTAATTATGGGTTATTGAGAGTAGATTGATGGGCAGAGAATGTTGAACATATGATTGTATCTGAAACATGAAGGGTAATACACTGAATACTTTCTGAATCTGGTGTAGATGTAAACAAGATGAGCTTGAATCAACCAACCAAATGTTGGACGCAGTGGAATATCTTGACGCCTTGTGTTTCTGGAGATAATATTTCGCATCTGTGAGCTCAAAAGACTTCTGCTCCTGGATTTATGCAGTAATGACTATGGATGCAGCTTCTGTTTTCAGACATTTCCTGTTTTTTTAAATAGTTAGTTGAACTTGTTTCATATGCTTTTCCACATGAGCATATCTCCCTCAGGCCCAGATTTATGGGATGGGAGCAGATGACCCCTTTGAACTTGATCAACTCCTCAGTTGAGAGATGACTGAATGCGTTTAGGAGTAAAACCACACTGAGCACAATGCGCACATTTGTTTCCGCTCGCATAGCCTGAAAAAAAAAAGATGTGTCTGGAAGCCAAAGGGGATGAATCAATTTTTAACCAGTCTTTCCTGGTTACTGGGAGGTCTTCTGTGGAGCACGAGGGGATTTTGAATTCATCAGGGGGGATTGTGGCTGCATCTCACATATTCCAAGATTGAACATTTAACAAATTGGGGATTAATGTGACAGATGCTGTAAAATGTGGTCTTTGCACTTTTGACTCAGGAGACTGTTTTTGTTTGTCATGGATCATGCTTTCATTATCATTCTAGCATAATAGCCTTCATGTTGTGCGTGACTAAATATTGCGCTTTATTCAAATACTGTTGTACAACCTGGACAAAGGATCAGAGACAGTTGGTTTAGGGTTGCTGGGTAATAATGTCCAACAGGTGTCTGACAAGCGTGATTTCCAAAATGTTTCATCAAAAATAAAACTAAATGAAACTGAACTGTTTTTTAATGTTTGGATTTTAATATTTTTGTAAGGATATTTTTTCTCCACAAAGATGGGTTGTAAATGTAAAGAGAACCATCATTGATTGAAATTGAAAAATCCATCTCAAACACAGAGTTGGCCTCACATATTTACTACCTTTGTGTCCCATATCCGTCGTCCTCAATTCAGCAGGACTCAAAGAGCCAGAGGCAACAGCTCCTCTCGTGAGCAGATGGCAGAACAATACTTCGTATGGGGAAAACAAAAAGAATGTGATCTGATATTTGTTGCTCCACACAGATGACTTCATCATGTAGGAAAGGGTGTTCAATGTTAATTAAATGAAATAGAAACAGACTCCAAATCCAGAGACAGAGACAATGCGGGTGTATGCAGTTTTTCCTTGTGTTTGGACTTTGTGTATTTGAATTTCTGAACTTGTGATCTGTGTGTGGTTGTTTGTTTGCAACATTTTTTTGTTTCCTGTTTTATTTTGAAACTTCTTTCCTTGTGTCTGACTTTCTTACTTTACTTCCTGTTTTACTTCACTTTACTTATTGGCTTACTTACTTTACTTCCTGTCTTATTTACTTTACTTCCTGTCTTACTTTACTTCACTTCCTGTCTTACTTCCTGTCTCACCTACTCCACACTCTCCAGTCACTTTGAGTTGTCCCTCATGGACTCACCTCTTGCTTCTGTTGACTTGTGGATCTTCTGTGATGTTTCACTGCCGTCAGAGACTGTAAGTTCATTATTTGTGTTGTCTTCTTAATTCATCTTCATCAGTCTTTAAAACCTGACAACATGGACGTGCAGTCTGTCTGCCAACATGCCAATCCATCCACTAGATGCTGAAAATATTTGACTGAATCAGTGAAAACCTTGTCCTGTTGGTGGCGCTAAAGAAAGTCAGAGGATCACCAAACAACACCCTGGTTAGGATATACAGTTCATTTGACCAAATGTCACTACAATCCAGGAGTTGTTAAGAT